AATAGTATTTCGCAACTCGACGAGCAATCGCGTTTATCTATAATTCGCAACGCTACTTTTAAAGCAAACTTTTGGTATCTAAGTTTGCAAAAAAGCAATCGCGAATGGTAATTATTCGCAACACTACCCTGAAAAGGAAACGCGAAAAATAGTAATTCGCAACTCTACAAGCAAACGCGATTATTGGATATTCGCAACTCTATGTATATCATAACCGCGAGTTATGGGGAGGGATGGCTGACATGTATGGTGCAATCATGTACCATCAGGTACATGCATACGTGAGCCAGCAAAAAAAATAAACTAACTACAACTACGGACGAGTTAAGTGACAAAGTAGTAAGAGGAATGACTTTCCATTCTTATCAGAAGATAAGGATGAAAAGCCATTTGTTGCAGCCCGCTCTTGAGACAGTTTGTCAGGGCCTCTTCGGCTCATATAGAGTCTTTTCTTTCTTCGGCGGTCCTGCCGATGCCTGAAACTTACGAAAGACCGGGCTCGAGATTTCGTGCAATACGTAGTCTTACAACAATATACGAATCGTTGCAAGAGCAAACGTGGTCATCTCGAGCGGGACGAACGTTTCGAAAGGGACCTAATCGCGACCGCGAGCGCGAGAGAGCGACTTTAAGAGTCGCGCGATTCGAGGAGTCGAAAATGAAGCCGAAACAAACAGCACAAGTGCACCGTTTGAATCAGCAAAATTTCTACTCTCGAGATCGTAACTACAGGAACAGAACTGCCACGCGAAAACGCGCCTACCCGAATTACTAATGTGGACAGCCCTGCCCTGACCCTACCTACTTAGGTTTAAACACACACACACCAGAGAATAAGTTACCTACCTACCTAACCCTATATTTAAAAAATTGCAAAACTCAGTCTCTCAAACAAACACTCCACGGTTCTCATTCTGAATGTCCGGGCGCGACCTAAACTAGAGAGGACTCCCCGGGGTTCCTCCGACACCCGGACACAATCTCATTCATACTCTAATTGTGTACGTACCAGTTTTTGCAGTGGACTGACAAAGCTAGTGACCATTGCGTACTTTTATTATTTATGTAAAACATTTTGATATATCTGATATAGACTTTATTAAAATATACTCTATATATGATCATATAAGATTGAAAAGCTAATGCATTATGCATTTTACAATATCATTGACGCGTATGCAATACGAACAATTGCCAAGTAAATAACAACTACAAGTTTGATATTATTATTGCGATTGTTATGAATCTAAATGTGAAAAAATTCTGTATCTGAATTGTAATGAACTTTTGAAACGATGCACTTCCACATCCTAACCACAAACACACATATGTGGATAGTACATCGTGCACGATACACTAGCATTGTCAGTCGCACGGATAGATTATTATTATAAATGTTACAAACTAAGTCATCGTGCCCCGTTGCCTTCGCTCGTGCAAATAACACTTGGGCATGTGCACGAACTTAGGCAACGAACACGGAAAAGTATCCTGAAAATCCTGACTAGAACAACTGGTTATTAATAATTCACTAAACGGTATCTATTCTCAGTAAAAATGACTCGACTTGTTATATGCAATATATCAACAACAGACTACGTTAATATCAAAAGATATAATTACTCAAGAAAAATTTCTGACTGAAATTTAATTGTGTAAAATGTAAGACTTTGATAAAGAATTCGTGATAAAATAATCTACTTTGCAAATTGAAATAAATTTGTTAAATTACTATTCAAAATATTCAATTAACCAGAGTCGATTCTGTCGTCAAAGGAAATTTTTTAAAAAATAAAATCAACATGCATGTTCCTTTGAGTTCAAAATCGACCAGTCGCGAAACGCCTTCTTGCACGTAAAATACATCATATGATGTATTAATCGATAAAACGAATATTTAATAATTATATTAATAATGTAAGATATTCTACTGAATCGTACGATTAATATAATGTTTTCACATTATATTAATTCATATTCTACTCGATTGTATAATTCGTATAAAGTTAATAAACATATTTCATATACATATTGTATCAAAATTGTGTAATATTTATTGATAACATTTAAAAACGCGAGTGCAAGAAGACCCTAGCCTACACTAAAAAAATACAATTCATGGGTCACTTAACTCGTCAAAAATACTAAGTATACAACTGGTCACCCGTGTTGATTCGGATCTTTCATCCTACAACATGGTTGGGGACCAGAGGAACATAAATAGCATGCGACTTACGAGTGATGAACTTGAACCTCTGGGATGACTGCATGATGATGCTGCTGCTGCCCCAGTGGAAGTCATCAAAGCCCCCTGCATGCTCCTGCTATAAAGAATAAGAAAGCAATTATAATCTATTGTTAAAATTATAGAGATTTTTAATTAACAAATTTCAAAGTATAAATTTATACTTACGTTGTTCGCTCGTGGTCCACCGCCCGATACCCCCCGGGTACTGCTGCTGGTTCCCAGGATCACGTTCAGAAACTGTAAGAAAACTGTAAGAAAACAATTAGAATCTATCGTAAAAACTGTAGAGATTTTTAATTAAAAATTTCAAAGTATATATTTATACTTACATTGTTTGCTCGTGGAGCATCGCCGAATAATCCTCTTCGGTGATGCACTGATTCTAATTCCGGTAACGAGGAGTTTAAATTTCAAATTGAAAAAATAATTAATTTGATTGCAAAGTATTAAGTTAAATTACCGCGACCGAAGATTGAAATCGGCGAACAAATGACTCTATTATCGCGATTCAGAAAACAAGGAGCCACGATGCTCTGGAAGTAATTTAATACCGCGTAAGAAACACTGCTTCTATTCTCGCGTTTGTCTAACATCGCGAACGATAACGTGCTCGGGGTCACTTTGCCCCGAGAAACAAACTTGTTGCTACGTACAATCACCGAATCTACCGGCCGCATTGCGCTCGGCCAACAAATTTCCTGGAAAGAAAAGAGCTGAAAGAAAAGGGACAGGAGACAAGAAACAAAACAAGCACATCTGTGCTTTGCCTATCGATTTTCTTTTTTCTTCTTACTAAAATTCGTCAACAGAAATACTGCTTTACCAAGCACTGCTGTATACATAGTTTGTCCCGTACAAGATCAATGCCACGAAGGCGAAATATTCTCAATCGATGAGAATTTCAACGATAAAATATTACATACGAAAATAATTACGTACAAGTATTTATTCAATTTATAAATATTATATCACTAAATTTCATTGTTAGAGTTGTAAGCATGATTATTTTTACTTTATCGAATGTTAGAATATCCCGTAATTTTTATAAATATTCCGAAATTTGCAAGAATTAAAGTTCGCAAGTTATTTATGCTCAAATAGCATATTCCAACTACGCAGTTACTACGTTTACTGAAACTTGTATCGAAATATGTATGCAAATTGCAATTACAACGATTCATAAAGAAATATGAATGATCAATTAAATAAATAATAGTCGGAAATATTTAATCGCGATCGGAATACAGTCTAATATAAATTATTCCAATGTATCGTTAATATCTACCGACGCCATTTCTGAATACTTCGATATATATCGAAGTGGATAAAAAGATTGTCAAAGATTTTCATAATTTATCTTAACAATGACCGATTACAAAATTAGAATCATGCTTGCAAGGAATGAAGAAATGAACCGATAAAAATGTATAAATATTAATATGCATGTTAATTTTTGTTATAATTGTTTGAACGTTACCAATATACCCTCCAAAATATGTCGACTCGTCTGCCATCTGTTATGGTGTACTTTACGCGCCAATGAAACTTCCCATGGCGTCGAATTTCAATCAGAGACTGCAACAGAAATAAAATACAAATTAAATCATAATTAAACAATGATTGATTATAACGAGGAAATAGCAAAAGGTTAGAAATACATACTTTGTTGGTCGCGAAATGTCTTGATAGGTTTCAACAAGTCTTCTTAATTTCGAATTCCAATAGGAGACTGTAACAGAAATGAAATAACGATGCATTAAAATACACGAACGATTATTATATTAAGCAATGGTTAAATCGAAACCGTATTGCAAGAGATAGTAATTGAAACGCGAGTAGTAATAGTGGGAAGATCAACAGGTTAGATATACGCACCTCGGTCGCGGAACGCCGATACGTCTTGCTATGTTTATTTACAAAGTACGAATGACGGTCGTCCGCTGTGCTCGGCAACGCTCGCGAATTAGGCGGCGGGGTGGGGAAGGCTCCGATGTCTCACGAAGCTTGTATTACGAACCCGAAGGATGCCGCGGATAGAAACCACGGATAGACTGATTTTTACCAAATTATTTACAACTTTGACTAGTCAAGGAATCGCGAATAATTCGTACTTTTCAATTGGTATGCATTTACATGCACTAGCTGCTGCCTATCACACTAATTCAGTGAGTTTTTTAACTGACTGCTATCCATGAGAAGAGGCCGCTAAAATCATCTCCGAATTTTTAGGTCGGTATGGCAGTCAGATTGGGCCATGAAAGTCCATAAGGTGAAAGGTGAAAGGATGGCGGTCAGTTGAGAAATTATTCACTGAATTAGTATTGATGGGCAGCAGCTATAGGGTGTGCATAAATACATGTGAGTTGACTATGGAAGGGATTAAAATTTATTTCTGAATCTGTTGGTAACGTTGGTAACGTGGAATTTCGAGACCCCATAAAAATTTTTTGGTAATAGACTATGATTTTGATTTTTCATTAATAGAAATATAAGGAATGTTTTACACATTTGCAACTTTATTAAATAAAAACATGCCTAGAAATTTTTTATAATAAATAACTTAGGAGTATAATGGACATCAGAGTAATGTTAATGTACCTCAAATTTGCGATTACAAATTCTATTATTTATTAAACAATGAGACTTTACCATATACAGGGTCTCCCGTAACTGGTGGTACAAGCGAGTAGGAGATGATTCACACTCTGTATATAAAATCGATAAATACTTTAACTTTTGTAAATATAAAACTCGGTATAAATTGTAAAATAATTTTCAATCATCAGTCTCAGTGTCTTCATCTTGTGACCCAGTGTCGACTGTAGGATTATCTAACTTTCGTTTGAAAATGTCAATGTATTTACAGAATTGTTTTCCGGAACTTTGTATCTAAAAAACACATAATAAGTTTATATACTTACAACTTATAAATAATAACAGACCGATCGTGATAAATAATAATTTACCATTTCCGAAATTGTAGTTATAGTTCGACGTAAATTTTCTTTCGACACATCATCGTTTATATCCAGATACAAGTTTTGCAGAGATTTAACGAGCACTTGTTGATCAATGCAGCTATGTAAATTTAATATTTCCGCCAACATGGTATATACAAGACTGTTGTGCGCATGGTAATCTTCCGTTAAAGGTTTACAAAGCCCATGCCTGGTCATGAGCAATATAAATTTGGACACGACGTAGGGATCGACTTCTTGCAAGGGACTGGTCTCTGGCGCGTTATACAAAATTTTTAATGTCGGCAAGTACGCCCCTTCCAACATTTCTTGCGCCTGGGGTACGCGTGTTAAAAAGTTATCGAAGAAAGTACTTAAACATTGTCGAAGATAGTAGTCCCTATCATTCACAGGATTGAAGCATAAAATTATTAATCTCGACAATAAACCGACACTATTGATTCGTTGATTAATTAACAACTTGCAGAAACCTTCGGTGGCGATCGTTCTTATTTCTTCATTCTGTGTTTTTATTAAAAAAAATACGCGTAATAATTTCTCAACTTAAACGAATATTTCGCGAAATATATGCTTACCGCGTTATCTAATAATTCCGTTAGAATTTTGATAAAATTGCAATTGTTCCCCTCTGTATCAGGCCTCTGTGTTGACAACAGACTCACTTCACGATCACTGTCGGTGTATAATTGTTTGCTGCTAGATTTTTTACTTTGCTCGGCGGTTCCTTCTTGACTTTCTACGATGCCAAAATAGTCGAGGCCGTACAACAATAAAAGATCAAAGATCCCCTTTAAAGCTATCACCCAAATTCCTGAATTTTCTTGTTCCAAAGAAAACTGTAGAAGCAATATTATAATATGTTTTTTTGCTATTTCTTTATCCAGTATGCAGCAGATACTGACTGTTTTTAGTGCCAATATGTGAACGTTGTCGTTTGAATGCTACAAATAAAAATTACATCGAACGAATCGGAAGAGCAAAATAAAAAATTAGAAAACAAGTACTTACATCTAAACTGACAAAACCTATTTTCATCAAATCCCTAAGAGTCGGTGTTAACGAAGTTACAGACTGTAATAGAGTACATATTATGCTTAGACATTTAATCATCGTTTCCGGATCATTCTTTTCCGTGACCTCTTGTTCGACGATCATCAAAGAAGGAGGAGGAACTTTTACCGAGAAGTTTTTTATTTCTTCGGTTAATGTACTTATTTCCTTCTGTAAACTGTCTGCCTTCAAAAACTCCTTGTCTTGTATAGCCTGATACTCTATTTCTTTCAATTCCAACAACTTTACCTTGAGCGATGCTATCTGAAAAATACTATTAATTAGGGGCATATATAGTCCAAATATTTAGCGTTAACGTGTTTTAATGTTACTTCTGGATTACATGCTTACTTGTACATTGATCTTTTCTTGTTGGTATTTGGAGAGTTGAGGAACCTGCTCAACTTGCGAAGGTTCCATCAAAGGCGCTCTAATATCGCTGATCACGTTACATAAAATATTTACTCTACTATTTACATCTGGTACAACATATTGTAAATGCGATACTATACATTCGATGATCTTTTCAGACCAGTGGTTACTTATCAATGTATTGCATATTAATTCGCTCAATTTCTTCCGTCCGAGCTCATCGGATAAATCATATGTTGTCACTATCTCGAATAATTGTAAAAGAATGAACTTTTGCATATTATTGACCCATGTCTCCGTTTCACCAGCAGACATTAGTTTTAGAAAATCGGAGATGTATGTGCAAAACATGGATAATTCGGGTATAATTTTTTCCAATTCTTCTGTATGATTTTCAGAATAAATATGTTTTACCAAACGTCTCCAGTATAATACATTCTCTGTAACTAACTTATCTAATGGAATTAACTTTGTTTCTTTATGTATTGGTAACTGTTCTACCAATATGTTTAATTCGGTCTTTCTAATAGAATAAAAATTAAATATTTGTTACTCGAAAGAAATACTTAATTGTATGCATAATAAAACATAGATTGAACACTTACTTAAATAAAGTGTCTAAAGCAAGAACAGATGCGTTCATATCAATTTCAGCATCAAGAGCTTTCACTAAAGCTATGAAATCTTCGTTAAAATGCCTTAACCATGTTGGTAATAGAACATTTTCTACACACTTTCTAACTTTTTCAGATCTATCTAGCAGACCATCGTTTAATAATTGATGTCTTTGTATAATAGTTAAAGATCTAACTGTAACTTTACTAATAAATTCGTACGCCGCTTTACGTACTCTTTCATTCAGATCTCTTGTACGCGATAATGCTACCTGCAATGTTTTTTGATTCTTTCCCATGCACATCAATGCCGCTTTGCGAACTTCTGCCTTTGGATCCCTGGAAGCATGATACATGCACATTTCTATAATTGGGCACTGACCGTCCATGGGATCCTGAAGTCTGTATAAAGCGAAAATTGTCTGAACTCTGACTTTCGGTGATTTATCCAACAAGCGATCCATCATAGAAACGGTAATCTTGTCGCAAAGATTATCATCTAAAAAAGCCTGATCACCCATAGAATTTAGCAATATGTGTAAAAAGTTACAAATGCGAAATCGTACAACTTGATCTTTTGCACAAAGATGACTCAACAGAAAGTCAAATAATTGACTAAAGAAAGGACACAGTGATTCCTCTGACTCTTCATTCGTGACATTAAGTAAACTGACAGCAAACTTGGCAACAAATTGAAGAGTATGTTCAACTCGCGGATGGTGCTGTGCGATTGTAAGTGGAAGTTTAAAGCACAATACGAAAGATGCCCAAAATTCTGGCAATTCATACTGAAATGAGAAAAGAATTATATTAAAATTACATTCCATGAAGAATTAGATCGTAGCAATAAGAATTTGTTCGTACCTGCTGGTAGTACTTCATTAACTTTTTTATATTACTTTTATGACAAGTTTTAGAGAACTGAACAGCGTAGAATATTTGCCTCATAAGTGTATCTATATTTTGATTCATATCTGTTCCAAATTATGGCGCCAATGCTTCAAATAAACGAGTACTTAGTAACGTTGCGTACACAGTCCTGTAAATTCATGCGAGATTCTAACAGTTTCATTTTTCAAATATATTGTGAACAGTATGGTTAAACGTTTAACAAGAAATGTAACTAACAAGGAACGGTTATACGGAATCCCCTGCACTTTGTTCCAATGGCGTAGCATCTACGTTCTTTTCCCATTGGCGCCAATTATCTCTAAACTGTCTTGCTGTTACTACAGCAGTCCCAATTGGCAATACAAACATGATTATTATTCCAATAATTACGTTTATATCTCTGCAACAGAGATTGTTGTGTTTATGACATCATATTTTAATGAAACTAAACTTATTGAAGATTCAACAAGCGTAGTTCTTTATACTGTAAACTGTCTTTAATTTTGCGAGGAGATGGTACAAGTTTTGGCGGTTTCTATGGCTTGTGACGTCATTTCCAAGAAATTCAGCCAACTAAAATTGTCGGGATTCCAACGGAATTCTCGAACTTTGTTTCGGAAGAATATGATACTCAATGATTTATATGAAATAGTATTTTAGGGATACTTGTATGATGATTAAACGAATAAAACTATATTTAACGATAATAGAGTTCATTAAATAGTAAGATTAACATTATTACAAAGCAACTTTGGTCGTTAGAAAGATACAATTTTTGTGCTTGATCTAATGCTTATCAAGGGTCCAGTTACTCCAGTTTGTTCTATATCTTTTGGGAAATACTTGAAATACATGTTGGACTGTACTGACGTTACAGAAGTATCGTTCATGTAGTTGCAAATAAGATGACCACGAATGGAAGATTTAAATTTACGTATAACGACATTATACAAGAAAATTTAAGATCTTCATAACTATGCTACTTGAATGGTAAAACTCTCGAATGGATATTAGGCACATAGTTGATTTCAATACTAACCATGTACAATCTATTACAAACTACAAACTACGCACAGTACCGCATGAGAGGCGACAACAAATACCACATTAGCGCCACACTGTGACTAAATGTTTCCTTTAATAGTTTATTTAACCCTTTGCGAACGTTTGTCACATATATTTATCTGCACTAATCATCAATGTGGCTGATGAATTCATGTATAGGTCGCTGGTTTGCAAATTTTGTACACATAAATTTGTAATAAAAATGTTATTAACCTGTTAACATAACTTTTAGGTATTGTATAATGTACACACGTGCAGAATTTTTATTTTTTAAATCTTACGAATTTTAATAAGAAAATGTATCGTTTTTAATTGTTTCGTCCGCAAAGAATTAAACGAACGATATCATAGTTATCATTTAATTGAAATCAGGACAAGCATATATATTTTACATAGATAATACTTTCGGTGTTTATTAATATCTATTGTTTGTGTATATTTTGTTGTAGTGTTTTACACAATAAACGGAAGTATATTGATTAATTAGTACAAAAATTGTGTTGTTTGTGACATAAGTACAATATCTGAATAAAATGGATGTGGAGGATAATACGGATACAGAGGTATTTCTTTTTCAGTTACATATTTTTATACTATATTTGTTTAAATACTTTGAACAATATTAAAACATTTTTTTCAAACATTTTTGCTCTGCAGTTGCGGTTTATATCACCCTCTCTTTTGTCTGATAGTCAGACTGTACTGAGAGAATATATTATGTGCGTGGATAATCTTCCGATATACCATCTGGATAATGCCCAATGTTATTGGCCAAGGAAACCTGATATTTTGTCTCTTTTGGACTTTGATTTAGCATCGCCTAGCACTATGTTAAAATTTGAGCGTGATCCTGTTACCGGAGAACTTGGAGAAATGTGCGAAGTTCCTGTAACATCAGCCGGTGAAAATGCACGAAATTCAATGTCTATGACCCGTGCACCAGGGCCTGCTACAGATAATATAAGAGGTATTTGATATAAAGAATTATAAATCAACATTAGAGTGTGGGTGGCAGTGATTACAATCTCTGTACACTTGCATGCTTTAATAATATATAATAAATTAAAGATGAAAATTGTTCATAGGAAATGCCAGTAATATTCCATTCTGGCCGGGTGGCTTCGATGAACCTGAAATGGTACAAAATTTAACAATGGAAGATATCGACTTTGAAAATAATTTAAGAACCTTGGCGAAAGGATTCACAGCTGGAATAGAATTTAAAAGTGATAATTGCACTCCAAAAGAGGCAACAACACAGGAAGAACAGTTATTGGAATCAGAGAAAAATGAAATCGAAAAAATAGCAGAGAAAATTAATTTAATGGCGATCGTAAACGACGAGCGGAATGTGCTCGATATCTGGTCGTCAGGAAAAGACACTAAGAAAGAGAAAGAGACTACTAAACCTTCGGATATACAAGAATCATCGTTCGATGAAATTGTTCCGTTTTTAGATAAATCGGATATTCCTGTTTTGAAGATCTCAGATAAACCTGCAGAGAATGCAAAATCAGAGTGGGCGGAACAATTAGACGTGTCAATTCCAATAAATGATTTTGATAAACATATACCTGATCCAGCAATGTGTTTTCCTTACGAATTGGATACTTTCCAGAAACAAGCAATCCTTAAGTTAGAAGAGAACTGTAATGTATTTGTTGCCGCTCATACATCGGCTGGAAAAACGACAGTAGCGGAATACGCGATCGCGTTAAGTCAAAAACATATGACAAGGTACCAATTTGATAATTTTAATGATCGAGCTCGGTGTTAATTATATTTCTTTTAGGGTCATCTATACATCTCCTATAAAGGCACTTTCGAATCAAAAATATCGCGATTTCAAAAAAAAATTTGACAGTGTCGGATTGTTAACAGGGGACCTGCAAATTAACTCGAATGCTTCGTGTCTTATCATGACTACAGAAATTTTACAATCCATGTTATACTGTGCAGCAGACGTTTTAAGAGATTTAGAATTTGTTATTTTCGACGAGGTGCATTATATTAATAATGACGAAGTAGGTAAAGCTTCATGCTATATATTAGTTTATTTTTGTTATAACATAACTGATATGGATCGCGACTCGTGGCCGCGCGGATTTTTCCCCCCGCATTTATGTTATTATTCTGTGTGCTTCAGCGTGGTCATGTTTGGGAAGAAAGTGTCATTCTTTTACCAAAAACAGTTAACATAGTAATGTTGTCTGCGACTGTACCGAATCCACTAGTATTTGCAGACTGGGTCGGTCGTACTAAGAAAAAAAAAATGTTTGTGATAAGTACTTTGAAACGACCAGTACCGCTACAACATTATTTATATACTGGAACAAATGGTAAAACTAGACACGATAGATTTTTAGTGTTAAACGAAAAGGGTGAATTTTTGCTTCATGGGTAACGATCGTTAACTTCTATTTTTTAATTACACGTATATACGTATTCTATGTGTGACACACGGTCATTAATTCAGGTACGAGATGGCAACGGCTGCGAAAAATACAAGTAAAAATAAGTCTAAACATACTACAAATTTGAAGAATGTTATGTTGCCAAAACAAGAGCAGGCGTTGTGGTATGCTTTCATCAGTCACCTCAAGAGCAATGTACGATCAAAGTATACGTATTTAATAATTAATAGTTATTTATTCATACAAGTGATTCAAATTTTGTTTTTTTTTTTTCAGAATATGTTACCTGTCGTTGTGTTTATGTTATCACGAAAGCGTTGCGACATGATATCAGTTTTATTAAGAAATGTCAATCTCACTACCGAAACTGAAAAACATACCATCAGAGTCTTTTTCCAAAATAATATTAAGCATTTGAAAGGCACGGATAGACAGTTGCCACAAGTTCTCATGATACAAGAATTGTTGCAAAATGGTGTTGGCATACATCACAGTGGTATATTACCTATTTTAAAGGAGATAATAGAAATGCTTTTTCAAAGTGGAATTGTAAAGGTCAGTTATCCAAATACTGTATTATGTTTTATGTCTAGATATTTATTAAACACATTGTATTTTATCTTGCAGTTGCTGTTTGCGACAGAAACATTTTCAATGGGTATGAACATGCCAGCACGTACCGTAATTTTCGACTCCATTAGAAAATACGATGGTAACAATTTTCGGATACTTTATCCTACCGAATACATACAAATGGCTGGTCGTGCTGGTCGTAGAGGCCACGACACGGCAGGAATGGTTGTAATTATGTGTCGTACATCGTTACCACATCTGAACGAACTGATAACTATGATGTGTGGTCAAGCTCAAAACCTAGAATCTAAATTTAAAGTAACATACTCCATGGTTTTAAATCTGAGACGAGTACACGAATCGGTATCTGTCGAGGCAATGATGCGCAGATCCTTTAAAGAATCGTCGTTCGCTTCGAAACAAAATGTTTACAAAGTCGAATTACAAAAAGTGGAAGACGAACTATCAAAGTTACCGCCCTTAACTGATCTACAAAAATACCTGTGTGATTTTTATAAGAATGCCGTCGACTACTTGGAGTATCTAAAATATTTAAAACCGCTTTTATACGAGACACAGAAGAAGATAGTACAAGATTTAACACCTGGCAGAGTTTTGATTATATCTTATGCAAGCCACTACAATAAACTAGCTCTCGTATTGAGTACAGTTCAAAGTAAAAGCGGTAGACAATACAGGGTATTAGTTCTTAAGAATTCCGAACCATCGAAACCTGCCGAGGAAAATCCATCGAAAGCGGTTAAGTTCAAGAAGTCCGAAAAATGGCACGACATGATCGCTTTAACAAAAAAAGAGTTGTTCGTACCATCTGGAGTTCCAGTCGACGAAGTGTTAATTATATCTGCGTGGCATATATTAGAAATAACAAATTGCAAAATTAATGTAGATTGCGCTTTAGTCCTCTCAAGTTGGGGAAAAAAGCAAATACCAAAATATAGGTAAAACTGGTTTTTTTTTTACAAAATAAAATTTATGCGATAGAGAGTTAATTTAAGACTATTTTTAGGGACACGCCTTGTGATCAATCTTATCAATTCGCTATACAACAATTAATGATATTGTCGTTGAGTGCTGCTCAATATGCTCCCGTTTTACAACCTTATACGGAAATGAAATCGAACTATAATTTTAAAACGAAAATAAATCGGTTGCTTCGTTTAAAAAAAGAAGTTTACGATATGAAATACACAGAAATTTCAAATTTTGAAGAACAATTTGAAATCGTATTCGAACGAAGCGAATTAGAAAGCAAGAAGATAAAGCTTCAGCTTCAACTTAGCGACGAAAAGTTGAGTCTTTATCCCGACTATACAAGCGCTGTTGCTCTTCTTAAAGATTTGGGATACATAGATAACGATGAAAGAGGTTGGTATCGAGTAACATGTTTTATAAAGATGATCAGTGTTGGTGAACTATTAATATGTAATATGTTCAAATATTTTTCAGTTGCATTGAAAGGACGAGTCGCGCTTCAGATGGGTAGTAACGAATTGCTAATTACAGAACTTATTCTTAAAAATGTATTAACAATACTTCAGCCGGCTGAAATAGCAGCATTGTTGTCTACTTTAGTGTTTCAACAACGAACGAACGTTGAACCACATCTTACTCCAGAATTGAAGAGGGTATAATTTTTCGACATAATTTCACAAATTATTTTGTAGAAAATACCGTTTGTAACATTTGTATTTTCTCATTGATCCAGGGATACGAAGCAATACAAAAGATATATTCCGAATTAGAATCTTTAGAACAGCATTATCAATTAGCAACGCTGCAACCGTTGAATATCGGTTTGGTTGAAGTGGTGTACGATTGGGCGCAAGCAAAATCGTTCGCCGAGATTATGGAGAAAACGGATGTACAAGAAGGAATCATAGTACGATGTATTCAACAATTAAGCGAAACGTTAAAGGACGTTAAAATTGCAGCTGTAACTATTGGTGATCCTGTTTTAAAGGAAAAGATGGAAGAAGCTTCAACTGCTATTAAGAGGGATATCGTTTTTACCCCGTCTTTGTATACACAAGATTGATTGTAGAACGAATCCTATGTACAATAATTTATTTTTGTGTAAATTTTCCAGATACTTTCAATTTCGATCATGGAGAAATTGGTATATTTTTATAGTTTATACATCGCTTACGAAGCATACGTTCTTTAAGAAAAATTGCGACGATTTTTTTTTACTATAAATACTAAATATTGAAATTAATTTTATCTTGTAAATTATAATTCTTTATGTGTAGATATATGGTAAGAGTACAAACATATAGCATAAAATTGTAATTAATACAGAACGATTGTTTTAATTTACAGTGTTTATTAGTACAAAACATCCTAGGCTCTATTTTCCGATATTATAGCGCACGTTGATCAGTGTTATTAAGACTTCCTTGACCCTTGTTCGTCTCAGAAATGCAAGTCCACTGTCCTTCGGTATTTTCGCGCCAAAGGGATACCTTATTATCTCCCCCGCTAACTGCTAAAATACCTCCGGTCAATGACCAACTCACGTTCCAAATGACATCATCAAAGATATTAAGAATAGTTGGCGTCCAACTGGAATAATCATTCGAGGTCCATACAATTACACGATGATCTTGCGAACAAGAAGCCAGTGCAGCTTTAGACGGTCCAACGGCTGGTGCCCATGCTACGCCTCGTACCTACGTTTGATTATTTATATAGGCAAAGAATTCTTTTGCCACATACAGTAATTCCCGCATTAGCGTTCGCATTTTTGCCTACTTTAGCATCCATTGTTATCCCCCCCACCCACCCCCTACACACCATTTTTCGAAGTCGAGTGTAACTTGGATCTCACTACCATAGAATTCACTTCCCCGCGTAAGCGTCCGCGGCCGGTCCCGAGCTTGGACGCTTAAGCGGGTACTACTGTACGTATAATCGGTTTGTAAACCTGAACATCAAAACGAAAACTCACCCAATCACTGTGTGCTTCAAGTTTATCTTCTTCAATCCATCTGTCACCCTCGTCTTTCCAAATTTTAACTAAAGTATCACAACCTCCTGTTGCCAATCTTTTTACAGCGCTGTTTCTCTGTGTTCCACTAGCATCAAAGCTGGGCTCGATAGCCGGACACCAACTTACGGCATTGCATCCAATGGTATGAGCATTTGCAATTTTTTGCGTGTCCCATGTATCTCCATTGTTGGTGAGAATAGACAACGAACCATCGGAACTACCGCAAGCAAGGATCAAGCCAAATTCGTGTGGCGCCCATGCTACCGAGTTAACGGATGAATCGTGACCGGTATATTCATAAATTTTTGTCCACTCTCCTAGCTCCTTCCAAATAATTACTTTTCTATTATAAGAAATAACATCGAGTGGCTTTAAAATAAAATAAATTGGTTTCACTTGTTACAAATTGTTGTGCTGAACGAAAGAAACGTGAACATACCGATCGTAACTGCACGAAGCTAAGAGATTTCCAAATTTGGGATGAGCCCATGCAACCTGCCACACAGGTCCAACGTGTCCCTTCAAATCGGCTACCAAACTTTGCGATCCGTTCTTCAGATCGAAAATTTTTACCAAATTGTCACTGGAACAAGTTGCTAACCTCAAACCATAATAGTCCATTTCCGCATCGTGAATCATATCTTCATGACCGGTGTCAACGGTATTCAAGACAGACACCATTTTTACGACACTTTCTTAACAAATTTCTATAAATATGCTTCTAAAAGGCGATTAATCAAAGCCCGTGAAAAAGGTTACATTCTCCAGTGTCTGTCACATACGTGGAAGCATGTGCGCACTGCCGCCAATGCACAGTTATTCTGCGCAGATCGAGCGCAACTTTCTCTCACACTATGCCAGATCACACGTATCGCACATGCACTTTTTTTCGATTTTCCGAAGCTGCCCGAAGTAATTTTGGACCGTCTCGTGGGATTCTACAGAGAAAGACTCGCATTTGAATTTTCTTACAGGCCTCTGTTAATTTGGTATGTTGGTATGAATGTGTAACTACAGAAGACCTTACATCCAATGTATTTTTTCGGACCATTTTTCTGGGGCTCTAGAGCCCCATTATCATTTTCGTGTCATTCGCAACATCATCAACAGGTTACACAAATGAACACAAGAGGAAGTGAGACAGAAAATGAAATTGCAGACACATTCTTGGTCACACGTTATATTTTCGGTAAGGAATTTTTTACTCGAAAATGATTAGGATTTCGGGGGTATGTCTATTGACCAAAAATGATTGTAATCGACCCCCGCAACTGAAAATAATTTTCTCAAAATGATTTGAAATTTTTTTTTTTTGCCGAAAAATTTTCAGGTCTGCAACGATATCTTATGAATGTACAAGACAGATAGATTTAGTTTCATTTACTATTAATTTGTTCTGTTCTTTAGGAGGGAACCTTCGAAAGGTTTGGGAACCACTGTTATAGGAGTTGGACAAAGAAATCCGTCGAAAAAAGAAAGGAATACGATCGTTCCGCTTCCTTATGTTGATCTTTCGCGTTGCAATAACTTCCGTCTGGGTATATAACTGACATATGTTAGACAACAGAACGAATACGATAGCGGATGATGTTTCGTAAGAAAACTTTCGACACGTTATAACGATCAGGCTTGGTAAGGTGCATGCCATTTTTGGCGATAAAAGGATGTATCAACTAATTGAATATTATTCAATCGTTGCGTAAAATGAATTTAAAATAGCCTAGAGGAGAACGAATAATTCTAGGGCCCTGACAGTTCACCATTCGTCCCTGTTGCAGGTGTAGCGTGTATAATACATTCATGAACTTTTCTCGATTCGCTAGACGCTACGCGTAGGTACCGCTACCATACGCGGGGCTGCACAGTTATACGAATTCGTTACAGCGCTCGTTTTTCTGTTTTTTTTTTTTGTTTTTACGAGAACGGGACGAAACAACGTCGCAGATTGGGGTAAACAGAACAGTGATTGGTCGTTTCAGCAAAATGGTGGCCGCGTAAATACCGAGTTTTAAATTCTAATTTACCAAATTGCAAAAGAAAAATGAATGCAGCTCGCGCAACGAGTCAAATTCAAGCTTGTCTGAAACTACAATTACTACAATTACAATTTGCGCTTAACAGGTGGATCATGGAAGCGTATACGACAGAGCACTTGCATATTAGAATTCAAGGGACAAAGTTCTTTCTTTACAAAGTCGAAGAGCCGTGTTTAAATTATACGGTGTACGTTTATTTTGCAACGTGCTCGCGACGATGGGCGCCGCCGTAGCTACGGGATGGCGGATACGCGAATGTTACCGATTTAGAGACGTAGAAGGCAACGGAAGAGAAGAGAAGGAACCATCGGCGTTGTACTCTTGGAACATTCCTAGGCGGTGGCCCCCGAGGCGCTAAACGGAGTACCGTCATCGCGGAGGAAAGGCCCAGTGACCGACATTCCCCTTTCCATTCTTCCTGATACTCCTTCGCCCGGATCTCGACGCGATACTGACGCGCACGCGGCCAACGACCCGTACACCATCGAGGCATCGTAACCGGAACCTCTGGAACCTTCGCCCTGAATTTCCGTCCCAACGGCTCGCTCTCTCACGCGCTCGACCACGAACACGAACTTTTTCGAACGTTTCAGGCGGAACGTCCCCGCCATGAAACTGCGAGCATTCGGCGTAACGACAACGGAGTAGGGGAGACCAGAAGCTTAATTGTAACGCGTTAAATAATTTAAAATCTATTCGTTCGTACAGCACACGCTTCTTAATTTCATGTTTCCAGGGTAAGAGAGTTCTTAACATCCACCATTGTGCAAAAGCTATTCGAGAATTCGAAACTAAGGGAGGCTCTGACCACACTTTGGGATCTCCCCTATTTTCGAGCTCCCGACTTATCTCGAATTTTCGAGTACGTTTACATTTAAGAGCGCAATCAGCGATGCAAGTATCGGGCAGTAACCGACGTTTACGTCTTCCAAACGACGCTATTTCGTTCCTGCGCTTCCTGGTTGGTCCGTTCGGCGTCTAACGAGTAGCGATGGGATCGAGCGTGTTGCAGGGGCAGCATCGAAACCTAGTAAGTTGGAAGCTTTTGTCGTTAATAAATTCCAAAGCTTTAGGATCAACGGTTAGGGTAAACGTATATTTATTTTTTTACAACACAATTTCATCTTTACCCGTAGCTGGAGAAATTGTACCTTTTCGATCGAGCAACGGCTGAGAGTTGCCGATTTACTGGATCGTTGGAATTTTAAGCGTGTTTCGGGCAATCTGTTCTCCCGTGGACGCTGCTAATGAGAGCCAACCGTACGCTTGAGAAACACGGCCAATACAAACGGGCGCGGTTCCCTGCATATTTCCGTGCCCGTCGTGTCAGGATAACGCGAGTACCGTAAAGGTGAAGAAGCGGGTCGTTGCTGGATCGAATTCCGCGCGTACCACCTCGAGCCACATTAATTTTCAGCGCGCGCGCTAGAATTACACCGGATCCTTTCGGCGAGAAAAATGGAAAGGCGAGAACCAACTGCCAGGCGTGTGTTGCAGATGCGCCACCGGGTTCCTGCAGCCACGGGGAGCTTCCAATCTACAAAATAATCGAATTAAATTAAATTCTTCGACACCTTCCTTTATTTATATAAGGCATACTCTCGCTCTACAAACAAAATTACAATTTTCAGACTCACCCAAATGCTTCAAATCCCTGTCAAGAGATCCTCAAACGTCGAATTTGTGTCCCAACACGCAATAAGATTCAAAGCACTGCGGCTACTCGAAGGCCACACTTTTTCTCTCGCATCTATGGCCGACACTGCGAAGTGTACCGTAAACTTGGAGGAGCAATATGTTCCAGAATCGAATATCGGAACGTGTTCGCGCGGAGTCGCACGAATTTTTCCCATGGCTTACCGTTGGCTATGGCCTTCTTTCGAACAACGAAGAACAACAAAGCTGCCAACGTCGTCGCCGGAATTTTGTCTTAATCGTTTAACTCACTCTTGGAATTATAGTAAAGTTTATTGCAATATGCGTGGTCCCATCGAACCGAACGATCGATTCCTCGTAATGTTGTATGTAATTTTTTTAAGTTAGGTCGTTCACCCTGTGTAGACAGTGTCTCATGGCAAAGTTGGCTGCGACGGTGTAATTCCGGATGGTTTTGGGTCATCCGGCCGATCGATGGCCCGTTTCATCTATTATTGAAATGTAAGCACCGAGCGGTAACATCATAAATGTTTATGATTCTTTATACGGTTGACGAGACGGTGCGAACGTTTCGCTGAAAGTCGCTCAATTTCTCGCTATTGTATTCATGGGGGTGCGTAGAGACGTATCCAGATCTATTCTCGATCCTTTGATCGTAAACAGTCGTCTCTGTCTCTTAAAAATTAAGTATAACAGGTACTCGCCGAGGTATTTACAGAAGCAAATGTTACAACAAATGTCAGAAATAATCGTGTTATTTAATAAGCGTAGAAAGTTATTTTTTTTTTGTACAATATTTTGTATTTATTCTAAGCAAAATAAATATTATAGCGTAGATATATTGTATTTAGATATAATGTTGAATTCGGTGACAAATAGGAAACAAAAGCATTCGTTATAGCAAAATTTATTTACAGTATTTAAAAATGTGATACTCGTACACCGTAAAAAAACTGTCAGCGTAGAATATACGCGGTGTAAGCCATCGAAATAAATAAAATGATTGATCAAATGAAATCCCTTTGTTTCCTAGTTACCATACGTTTCCGGCGCGTTCGAGTTATTGTAGCCGGAGTATTGTTTTCGAATACTGTTGATAAATTGTCCTGAGAAATTGAGGCCAGCGTAAAGCGTTAATTAAAACGTGTTTGATGAATAAATTAATGCCAGACGGTACTACAAAGCGCACTATTGCGGCGATGCAATATCGCGATCGATCTCATTCTTCTGTTCCCCAATGATATTGATACGTCAAATTGAAATTTATTGTCTCCCTTACAACAAAGAATACAGTTCGGCCGAAACTTTTTATCCGGTATTTGTTTTACTTTTCAAACCCCGTTCCATCAATCTACTTCGCGCGGGATCAATCATCGATCCTTTTCTACTCGTGGGTTTTGTTTTTCATCAAAGTTGACACCGAACCATCTATCATGCGTCCGTTAAATTGTCTTTTCGGAGACTTGCTTTTCATTCTCTGTATCACAGCAAACCCACCAATACCGTTTCAAAGTGCTGGAATTGCGTTCCGGAAATAACTCGATGGTACGTTTTATATTAATCACTCCGCGCGACAATACAAACGGGGGAAACACAAAGGAGCGGTTTAGTTAATCAATTTCCATGGATCTACCCTATAAGACGATACAAATAAATATCGATTAAAATTTTATTTTTCAATTAAATTGGTCAGAGAAACGAATAAAACGTACACCAAATTCGGTTTGTTGGCAAATCGTTGAGCATCGTATCTTTTAGAATTATCGTTCGCGTGCCGGGACAGATTGAATTTTTTCAGGTTTTTTAGGATTTCGGGTATCGAGAATTTCGATCGTAGCCGATTGTACGCAACAGGATCAGATTGGTGGTTGTTCGGTGGCCGTTACGCCGGTGTCCAGAGGCAGGCGTACGTCGACAGGGCCGTAGAATTCTAGAAGGGGGTCATCATACGAGGCACGGCTCCGCCGAACGCAGCGGAGCCAGGACAGTGCACGAACGTCATTCGACGCGAACTGAACGGGGCGAAAGACGCGCGAAACTTGTGAAACGGACCGCCGCCGCGGATTTCAAGCACGAACGAAACGAGAGTCGATTCCACCTTACGCGATTAAACGGGTTTGCCGTGCACGCGCCACGCGCATCTACCGAATTTCAAACGGAAATCCGATTACCATAGGAAACAGTGCTAGGAAACTGACATTTGTGCGGCGAGACCTGTTCCCGCGAGGAAGAGGGCCACGAGGATTTAATTTGCTGCGCGTTAACTCCCCTGGATAATCGAAATCGCGGTGAGTACCCATCGATCATCGATTTCACCCAACCGTTTCCGGTCACGAGATATTTTTTTACATTTTCACCGCGTACGCGTGCTTTCTTCCATCAACTAGACAAAATGTATGCAAAGTGTATGCAAAATTTATGCACGAATTTTAGCGATTTTTGAAAGAGTTGCGTCACGGGAAACATAGCGCTAAAATTAGACACGATCTCTTGCCGATGAAATTCGACTCGAGAGAAGAAAAAAGAGGAATTTAATCTTTTTTTCGTGGTCGGGCATTTCGGAGCTTGAATAACAATTATCAAATTCTCTAAAAAATTGTGAAAGTTTCTAGCCTCTAGCTACGAGGAACGTTATTTTGAACAACGCGAACCGGCCATATAAATTCTAATCTCGAAACTTTTATCATAAAAGTTTTCTAACTATTTCGACCCTATATTTCAATATTATTCCACTTTCATCTTTTTTTAAGGCTTTTTCGAGGGAGATCGAAACTACCGATTTAGATCACGAACACCTGGTTTCCAACATTTGTTTCAACCGATCAGAAGTTGGATAGTGGATTGCCCAGAACTAAAAAGTCCCGCGATGCTTTGGAATTTTCGTGGAGTTTCGCGCGTTTTCGAGGCGATTTTATCTGGTCGTTTTGATCGCGAAGAGGAGAAATTCGTTCCACGTGTTCATCTACCCTCTTATTCCGGTTGATTAAAAACCTCCCGCAAGGAATTTTCATTTCGCGTGAAAGCTGCGTCGGTTTTTTTGGCCCGCGCTCCACTTACAGAAGAGTTTCCGTTTACAAAGTAAATAGATAATGTGTATTTATTCAGGGAACAAAATTACTTTTCACAGTGAAACTAAACTGGTTCGCAGAAACCTGGTGAAATACACCCTTTAACATATCAATTTTAACAATTACTTTCACAGTAATTTCCATTTCTATGCAAATGTGTTGGTAAATGCGTTAAGATCAATGCGGTGCCGAGTATTTTTTGCTTAGTTGCAAACCTGTGGAAGAGCGTGTAAAACGTCTGACCCAGTACGAGCTGAAATTCCTGCTGATTCCGACCTTTATTTTTTTTTTTTTTTTTTTTTTATTTTTGCGCAGTACACTTGGTATAGATTACTTGTTACAAAAGTTAATCAAAGGCAAACAGATGCATATATACTCCTTTGTGAGAAAAATGTTATTTCGTTCGAAAATGTGTATTTTACGACTGAAAATTAAGAACGATGGTTCGAACCTCTCGTCTCTAGGATGCAGGTCATTTTAAGTAATTGCATTGGTCCATAGCAATCAATAGTTTCCCTTGACTTTTAATTACATTGTCTGTACTTTCTAGAATTTCTGAAAAGTTTCCACCGAGAAAAGGTTAAGTAAATGTATTCATAAAGTTCCCTCGCGTTCATTGAAACAATTTCTATGGGTACTTCAGGTATACTTGTACAACGTAAAGGAACGAGAGGCTTACAAACCCATATTTATTAGAATTTAACGTGTTATTGTTGTGCAATTTCCTTATTATTCAACCGATTTCGAAGCATTTACGTCTCCAATGATATCTTTTATTCGAATTAGAAAGTACAACGAAAGTGGTTGTTGGTAATAAAAAAAATCGTCGGTCGTAAATAATCGAATGAATTTAGAGTACAGAGAGATGGGCAAAATTTAATCTGATTACGTCTGCCACGATACGATACGAACCAATTACACTGCAATCGCACAGTACTTGCCATCTAATTGCGATGTAATCATAATCGTAAATCTTTCAAGCCCGTAACAACTTTCTAATTATCTTTTAATTACCGCATGATTTCACATAATCGTATCGTGGCAAATGTAATCGGGTTACGGGTTACGGGTTCTCCTAACTATATCGATTATGCTGTTATGTTGCAACTTTCATCCTCTATCGATTCTCTGACAACGGAAGCGATACACGTTGAGCTGCCCAATAAATATCAATATTTCCAATGATGTATGCATTATTTTACTTAATAATTAGTATTAGAGTTTATTTATTACATGGAATCCTTGTTTTTGGCCGCGTCTTTCGAAGCAGTCTGTATTTATTTCTAATTGCGATCGCGCAATCGACGTTTCGTGCGTTCTTCGTTGCGCATGCGCACGGAATCCAACGATCGCGCCGCGTAAATCCCCGACTCGCGAATTACCGAGTCAATTAATTCCCGCGAAATCCATGGTACATGTTCGCTTGTGCGTGCACTTTCTAAACGGCAACGGGGAATGCAATTTCTACGCTGGCCTGGCGTTTCCCTGAAACCGAGACGGCGGCCATTCGTTCCTCGCGGCCACGAACGACGCTTAACGCGCATCTCGCGACGCGTCCCGTGTATCAATCGTATCGCGGGGCTTTCTTAACATTCTGCCCCCGTCTCGTTTATTAAGGCCTCGTTGTGCAAAGCACGTCTCTCTACGATCGACGTTGTTCGATGGAAAATACGGCCTTAAACATACAGCGAGTCGTTCGGTTAACCTTTCCATTTCTATTCCAGCCGTACGATTACATGCTTGAAATTATTGGATAAAACGTTACCTGCCACCTAAATTTACAATCTATTAATACGAGTTGATTTAAAGCTTCACGGTTAAGTGAAACAAATTATCGTTTTATACATCAGATTACACTTGCAATAGAAATGAAACAGTCAAGTCTAATTGCTGTCGTACATCGATTATATATGTATGTCATTTTGATAATTTAGGAGCGAAAAAAACGAGAGAATCCTGTCCTCCAGAAATTATAGATATGTCTTTTGTACATTTTATGGATCGCACGAAATTTGCCAACTTTATCGTCTTACAGGGCTAGAATGCACCAGGTGTGCGATATGTAATTACGTCGAGCTACCTGCGCGCGTACCCTAAAACGATCCCAGTGGTTGACATCTGTCGACGTCGAAAATTCTAGCACCAGACCCCTTCAGTTCAGGCAATTTGAAATTTAAACAATATTGCGCGTACTGAAAATCATAATTAACCCTTTGCACTCCGAATTATATTTCAATTTTGTTACCAGCACCACCCAACGCTTTTAACTGTTTTATTTGAAGTTTAACTAAAAAATAGGACAATTTAAACAAATTCAATTAAATATCTGTTTCATTTATATTACTGCTATATTTTGCAATTTTCAAGCGTATGATATCTCTTTGGTTTGGACTTGAAAGAATGACATGGGAGTTAACATTGCAAAGGGTTAACATTGGGTAACTTTGGGAAGAAGCAAACAGAGTTATTTGGCTCTGTAAAATGTTTAATGTCTGGCAGATGAAATGGGCTGTTGGAAATTGTTTTCAAAGTGTCAGTTACCGTCTAAATTTCAAGTGCCAATTACTGGTATAACCAATGGATGAGCAGATGAGTCCCAAGAGGCTTCAAACTACCGTCTACGTTGTAGTCTGTAAGTCTGATGGTCCCATGGGTCTCATTTTCTCATCTGTACGCAGTACATACGCGATCAATTACCTTTACTGTACAGGAACGGGGTAATCTACTGTCTTCAGAGGCACTCCGTATCTCTTTATAGCATACTGTCTCAATTGTAATTTAATTCATTCGTCTAAAGAGTGCATTTCAATGGAAATAATTCTTTTAAAACTTCCCTGTATTCGTGGCTAATTAAAATCAGAAAATCGTTATTCCGCAAGCACCATGTTAAATAACTATCGTCGTGTATCGATCTATCCATTGTTCTATGGTTGGCTCCGGCCTTCGTGGTGTGTACAGCCACGTAAAACACACATAGAAATATTCTGTGATTGGCCTGTCGTCTTTTTTCTTGTTTGGCCCGCGAACAAAGCGGCGGGGAAAAAACCTGGATTGAAAAATCGATGTCTCGTTCACCGGTCCCTAAAAAGACACCGCTATATAACTTCGATTAGTCTGCATAATGTGGACCGAAGCAAACCGAGGCAATCTGGGTCAACCGGATAATCGAGGTTCGAGAAGAAACGATTAAACCCATATTTTCTGTATGAAATAAACTCTTTGCAGGGCAAGAAATGTAACCAATTTTTAAAAGGTCGACTACCGGTACCAATTATCTTACTTCGAATTCTTTTCAGTGGTTTTTGCGCGTCGAATTTATGCTCGGGGTCGTTCCCACAATTTGTAGCTTATACGCTTTTGTAATCAGTGTTTTTCGGCGCAAAAAACGATATAATCGGAGCATTTCGAGATGACGAATGAGCTAATTTTTAGCTCTCGGGGCTTGAAATATAGACGCAACCTTTTTTCGCCAGTCGGTGTAAAATTGTACGATATCACGCGTGCAGAATATTTCGTTACGTCCGATTGCATTCCTGGAAACTATTGGATCGATCAAGGTTTAAACGGTAATAAAATATGATACCCAAGAGGCAATCAAATAATTACGTAGCACAGTTACGCGCAGTTATCAGTTAATTAAAGTTATTAGTTTACCGTGGAATCGATGTTTATCAAAGAACACGATTAATTATAATTCAGAATTCATGCTCGTTACGGGAAAGTAAAGCACAAAGTTGTACGCCGTTGAAAGCGGTTAAAAGCTTGGCAGTTGGTTCGCGAGCAAACAGAATGTCACCGATGTAAAATCTCCTTTGGAACCCGGTTCTCTTCGTTAACATTCGCTCTTTTGTCCGTTGAGCCGCGCTTCCCGTAAGTAGCATTCAACGTGACGCGACTTTCATGAAATTAACGCGAATCTGACATAACTCCGTTGCTATCAAACAAAGAAAAATTTTGCATTGTTCATCGTGGCCATTCAACATTTTTATTTCACGGTTTATAGATCTCACAGGCCAGTACCAATGATTTACGCGCTCGAAACTAATCCATCTGTGAATAGGTTGGGTACTGCTTTCGTTTTTTTTAAGTATTCGTAGAGAGTTTAAGCCTCTATCTCTAAGATCGAGGTTAATTAACATCTCCGGGCATACTGGCGCGTAAGTGTACTGTGAAAGAAAGATTAGTACCCGGTTAAGGGGAACGTGGACAGTGTACAGCGT